TCCTAATGGCCTTAAAACTATGTTGATAATATTACATAACAGACACTAAAAGAGCCTACAAATGGTTCCCAAGAAACAAACTGGATTTCTCTATGCGGAAGACACATTGTGGCTATGATGACAGCGCGTCTTGTAAAAGACTGTATCACATTTCCTGAATTTGGTGATTGCAGAATTTTCCCAGCAAGACATGTGTTCTCTCATTTGCTTGTGTGGCCTTTGGCAACTTGCAGGTGTTTGCTTGGAAAGAAGTAGCATTTCCCCAAGATGCCAAAATAATTGCTATGCTAAATTCTGTGATTCAAGAGTCATCTGAGAATTCAGGTGGATTCTTGCCTATTTCCAGGATATATTATGTGGCTGGCCCATTAGCCATCCTGGCTATCCTCCTTACCACTACTGCTGCCAATGGTTTTGATTTGTGGCTGCTGAGCACCTCCTTCAAAGAGGAGATGGGAGCACAAAAGATCTGAGGTTCACCCAAATTGGTGTGCTGATGTATGCATACCTTAGGAAACAAGCTGACTGAGAGCTGAAATTGAGAACTGAAGCTAGGCTGGTAGTTAGTTCACACCCTTTGAATGCCTACTGTGAACTCTGTACTCTGACATTCTACCCTTTGGTTGCAATCATCTGTGCTGCTACAGTAAGTTGAAAGTGTCTATGGATTAGTTAGTCACATGTTTCACAAAACCTATAGATAATTTCAATCTGATCTATTCAATGGATGATTTTAAGTCATTGTGCCTCAAATATTAATCTAATCAACAGCTCCAGAGAAGCTTTCATTCAATACAAAATACCTGTGTTACTATAACTTTGTGTGTGTGTGTGTGTGTGTGTGTGTGTGTGTATACGTGCATGCATGTGCACATGCACCTACACACTTGAAGTCAGGTCCTGGGCAGTTTCTGACCTTTTTTGACCAAGGCTAGTGCTCTATCACTTGAGTCACAGCTCCAATTCTGGCTTTTTCATAGTTAACTGGAGATAAGGATCTCATAGACTTTCCTGCCTGGGATATCTTTGAGCCATAATTCTCATATCTTCGCGTTCTGAGTTTGGGATTATAGGCAGAGCTACCAGCTCCTAGTTTCACTTTAAATTTTTTAGCTTCAACATTTTCATTTTTGGTATTTTGAGACAAGATTTTGCTTCGTAGCCTATGCTAGCCTCAACCTCATAATCCTCCTGTTCAGCTTCCTGAAGGCTAGAATACAGGTTTGCACCACCAGGCTCAGTCTAGTTGCCAAATTCAAAAAGTAAGAGCTAACAACTTAAATTAACTTTAATAATTTAGGCTATTGGGTAAACATAGGTCTCAGTATCTATGGGGGATTTGTTGCAGGAATCTCTATGGATATCAAATTCTGAGTATATACAAGATCCTTATATAAAATGGTATATAGCATTTATATAACCTAGGCACATCCTCCTGTTTGCTTTGGATCACCTCTAGATTAAATAGAATTCCTAATGTAATACCATGTCATGCTGTACTGCTTAAGAATGACAGGAAAAAAGTACATGTTTAGTACAGAAGCAATTTCTTTTTAAAACTATTTTGTTCCATAGTTGGTTGACTTTATGATTGTTGAGCACATGGACATGGGGGCAATCATATACCCATTGTGCTACAATGCACAGACCCTGCGTTCAAGCTCCATGACCGATAAAACCAAAACAAAACAAACTACAACAACAAAAAACCCAACATGGAATACTAAAGAAAGGCTGAATGAAGAAATGTTATCTCTAGTGTATTTTCATATAAGTATTTTCAAAGAAGATTGAAACACAAGCAACTTTTGTTTGGGCAGACAAGAAAAGAAATACAAATCTAAAGAACTGACAAACTAGCACAATGTGTTCTTAGACATAATATAAAGTCAGCTCTCCATATTTATGGGTTCCACATTCACACATTCAACCAATGCTGGATTAAAAATACTAAGAAGAAAAGAAAAGAAACCAGGTGCTGGTGGCTCACGCCTATAATCCTAGCTACTCAGGAGGCTGAGATCTGAGGATCACAATTCAAAGCCAAAAAGGCAGGAAAGTCCATGAGACTCTTATCTTCAAATTAACCATCAGAAAACTGAAAGTAGAGCTGTGGCTCAAAGTGGTTAGAGCACTAGCCTTGAGCACAAAAGCTAGGGGCAGTGCCCAGGCCCTGAGTTCATTCCCCACAACTGACAAAAAAAAGAAAGAATGAAAAAAAGAGAAAGAGAGAAAGAGAGGAAGGAAGGAAGGAAGGAAGGAAGGAAGGAAAGAAGGAAGGAAGGAAGGAAGGAAGGAAGGAAAAGTGGTAACTACATTGAACAGAAACTTTTGTGCTTATTACTTTATAAAAAGTACAGTTGACTACTACTCATATATCATTTACATTGCATTAGTTATGGTAAATAACCTAAAGATGATTTCATAGAGGAGATGTGCATAGGTTGCATGCAATTACTATGCCATTTTATATAAGGGATTTGAGCATCCACCAATTTTCGTACTAAAGAGGTGTGGATCCCAAGAGATGACTATATAATATTCCAAAAGTGAGGGAAGGGAAGGCTGAGAAAATCTAGCTATGATACTACCCCTTAGGAAGCAAGAGACTGGTAAAAATAATTGATCTTCAATTGTATTAAGGAAGGAATAGAGAAAAGTACATAAGATACATACTTCAATGAAAATTTCAGTTTGGAATAATATTCCAATCTTGTTTAAAAAGGCCTATGTGTGGTAGCAATGATCTGTGTGTTATCTCAGAGGACTGACATTGAAGAGAGGGCTTTTATGTGTTTGGTTTTGCTATTGTATGAGATTGCAAGAAACAGCATAGTATTTTTTACTTTTGAAAAGGCAGAGAAAGATGTGTTATAGAAAGTTGGAATAATGACTAAAAGTGTGTGTGCGTGTTGTGTGTATGTGTACGTACGTACATACATATGTGTGTATATAATCTCTGGGCCATTTAAATTTTTTCTATTTATATTTCAAAGTAAATGTGTAATATTTTTACAATCAGAAGGACATAATCTATTTCAAGACTCTTTGTAAAGCCTAAAATTACAAGGTGTTTTTGAAAGAGGTTTGGTCCAATTGATTTTTGCCTCTGCATGGCTCTTGTTTGTTCTTGTTGCTGCTGAAGCAATTTCTACTTTTCTATTTTTTTCTTTTCCTTTCTTTCTTTCTTTTTTGCATAATTTCCATTCAACATGGCCAAAAAGGAAAATTGGGGCCAACCACAAGGCAAGCCTTCCTGAGAGAAGACAAAAAGCCTCTGTAACCTGTGGAATGAAAACTTTACCAGAAGAACGTGACTCTTGTCATGAATGACTTCAGTTGCTGGCAGACAGAAATTTTAAAGGAGAACAAAGAGCAGGAGAGCAATTTCAGTGCTCAGGTTGTCATTCTAGGGCACATGCTAGTAACTTTATATTATAATGATGGGGACAAAGAACAAGGTGTCCCATTCAGTCCTATGCTCCTGAAACCAGAGGGTCTGTGGCCCTTGCAGAGCCTTTCACTGAAGTGGAAAGGAAAAGAAACTTTCAGGGAGTGAAAAAGGAGTTGTGAGCAGGTAAATCACCGGCAGCCATATAAATAATGGCAGAGAATGGGTATAAGAGATGAAAAGATATCGTCTGATCCTCCACCAATGGAATGCCATGCACTAAATCAAGGTCTTTTGCTGTCTGATGCTGTTGTTTTTACTGAACAGTTAAACACCCAAGGAAATACCAGTTGGGTCTTTAAGACAATTTACAGCCGGTCAGCCTCATTGCACCTGGCTGTTTTGACAGCAGATTTTGTCAGTTTATGGTAGAGATTCTTGTCTACACTAAAAGCTGTCACCAACACAACTGGACCTTTGGGTGGGGAAATGTACAGCTCAGAGGCAAGTCTCTTCCTTTCTTACATCCTTCACCCTTTAACTGAGAAGCAAAAGTCTCAGGCTAGTGGCAAAACCCCTCCTGACTTCAGGGGGAAATGACAGAGCCTGCTGGTGGAGAGAGGGTCAGCCCTGGTGCCACCACCCATCTGGGCTGTCTGGGATGGGTCTGCTTCTCTGCACAGAATTAAAGGCTCTTTCTTTTTCCTTCCCTCCAGGCGAACTGATGCAAATAATGGCCTTGTTGTTCCAGGCTAAGAAATTTGGAAGCCAGTTCTTTGAACTTCCAACTCTTCCCAGTACCCAGGCCTCACCAAGAATGTCGGTGGGGGGGGGGGACTTTGTAACAGGCTGGATAGGCATACCAAGCAAACAGCTACAGAGGAAGCCACACCCATCTCCATCTAAAACATGAAGGCCCAGGATTGGACATCCATGACCTTGGCTTGTTTTTCCCAGATTTTGGTACTCAGTGAGTAATATAGTTTGGAAGTCACCTTAGAAACCACAGGATGAATCAAAAGCACTGTCTATCTCAGATCCAGGTACTGCCTTGCCACACCCCTGTTTCCTTCTTTTTTTTTTTTTTTCTCCTAGAAAGACTAGGCCAAATAATGTTTAATAGATACCATGCATTCCTGAAATGAAGGGAAATGTTCTTTCTTCACAACAAGTAGTGGTGGCTAGTGTGACATTTTCCCATGTGACAAGCAAGGACAAAGATGTGAAAAGTTAACAGAGAACAACCCCCGCCCTTTCCTTCATTTCATGGGTCACAGACATTTATTGACACTCAGACACTCCCAAAGGGAAGCTCATATAACCAGTCATGAAACCAGAAACGAGAAGGCTCCAGAGGCTGCTTGCCTGAGTCTACCATGGAGTAGTTGGCGAGGAGGGGGGTGTTAGGGGAGACTACCCACATCCCCCAAGGCCCACTAAAATGGTCAAGCCTGATCTGTAACTACTCTGGGGGCCACCCAGACTGGAAAAATTCCAGGCCTGAAAGTTCCCTTGACCATCCGTCTGGAGTGCCACCCTCAAACTTCCCAGGTCTAGGTTCAGATTAGTGTCAGCATTCAGGTTTGTAAGAGGCTGGGCTACCCAATACCTCTGCGAAGCATAAGACTGAAAGAGAAGGGAAGAGAAGTTCCAGGTCAGCATTCCCACAGAGCTCGACATGGCCAAGAAAAGGTTTCTTACTTGCAGTTACCCATTGGCTGAAAGGGAAGAGGACAAAATCTATAGTGACAATGAGCTTCAGTCCCTAGGACAGAGAAGTGGCTCCTAGTCATCTAGGTGTGGAGACCAGCCTGAAACAGGATCTTTATACACACAAGGAAGGGAAGTTAAGTGGTAAGAACACTAGGGAAATCAGGGAAGGAATCACGAATACCACAGATCAGATGAAAGCCTTGGCCAACCAGCTCATCTACTTGACAACTGCTGCTTTGGAGTAGACCTGAAGTTTAGATGTTCAACTCACTGCAGGTATTAAACTGTTGCCTGGTGACTCCTCCCAAAATATATACAGTACCACACTCTGCAAGAACTCACAACACACGGTGTAATAGCTCTCATCATGTCTACTCCAGTTCCACAGTCCCACACCTCACAGTATCAGGCTGAAATCAAGGGGTGGGGAGAGAGTCCAGCCTTTTTCTGACTTAGCAATACTCAGTAAGATCATTAATTTTTATATACATATTTAAAAAATCAACATCATAATTGACAGGCTAAGCAGCAAATTTTACTTTTTTCCACAGACTCTTCTAGAGCAATGAACGTAAGGTACCTTAGGTATTCTGGGACTCTCAAGCCAATCTTGGAAAATGTTTTCAATGGACAGCTCTTGCCTTTATGAATAAAAGAACAAAACAAAATGAAACAAAAAACAAAGAATTAAAAAAGTTACAGAGCACTTTTTCTATCTAACTATTTCCAGCCTATTCTAACATCAATTACAACTCTCTGAGTTATAGTGTTAGAGGGACTCCAGGCACAGAGTTCAGTTTCTCTCCAGCCAATAGCAAGATCTTTATGTGCCTATCAATGAATCACAGGCACAGCATGGTAGTATTGTTAGTGTTGTTTTCTAAATAAAATATTTGCTGAATAAAAAAGAAATAACCTAATTGTCCATGGTTACATACATGTATGTATAATTGGAAAGATCATGTAAAGACATTAATATTTATACAAAGGATAAAACAATATAGACTGATAAAACAATGCACATGTACTATAGCCACAAAATAATGGTTTTAGCATAGACTGATGGGATGCTCTGTTATCTCTGACATGGAATTAGTTACTTTTAGTGGCTTTAGGTAAGAAAAAAAACAAAGTTATAATGTTTGCTTTCACATGAGAAAAATGTAGATTTTCACTTTTTTAATACTTAAAGTTTAATCTAGAATTATTAATGCAACAATTGCAGTGTTTGTGGTAATATGGGAACATCAAAGCAGTACAGTGGTAATAGGTGCTTTCAATACTTTGAAAGGAATGTTCTGGTTGGGAAAGCCTCTTCAAGGTGTACCTAGGACACATTCCTTGCAGCAGAGAGGCAACGTGTAATTCAAACTGCAGCAAGGAGAAATATGAACTTCATAGTAACAATGTGCTATAGGAACAAAGCCTTTGTGGTCAGACAACAGAGACTCCAGTACACAAATGGGTGCAGTTTCCACTGCCTAGTTCATTAAATCTACTTTAGTATTATGATTGCTTGTTGCTTCACGTCAAATTCTTTGGCTTCCATCAAGATGACGTCCAGTCCTTAAATTGACTAACAATACATTTGGGGTCGAGGGACCTTAGGGTGGCTTGCTTGGCTAATTCAGTTTAAAGCAAACCCATCCATAATTCTTCCTCATGCCTGCTATCTCTTGCTTATACAACACCCCTCCTTGACCAGGCCTCCTAGGCTGAAAGGAGACTCACCACACCCTGTGTCACAGCACACCCTGTGGCTGTCAATTATATGATTACATGACTTTCACTATCTCTTCTCAGGGCTGAAGCTCTATGAGATCCAATTGTAGCATTTATAATGGTATGCAAAAGAATCTCTACATACATATTTTTGATTGAATGAAAAAAAACACATTTCACTGTTGACTCAATACAACCTTTTTCTTTTAGTGAGAATACTCATTTTTGCCAGAAAATATTTCCAAGTTGTTAAGCTCTGCATCTTTCTATAATACCTACCCTCTCCTTTGGAATTGTAGATAGCGTTATCTATAATGTTAAGTGCTGGAAGGCCAAGTCAGCCCTCCACTTCATGCAAGGAGGGAGGGTAAGGGAAAGTGAGGAGGTAGCTGGTTGACTTTCTCCCCTGGGCACTGGTGCCCCACCTTACCTGGGCAAGGCAAAAGCAAAGAATACTCAAGGAGGCAACTATTAAAACAGGAAAACTAAGAGGCAGGAGAGAGGGGGAGAGAATATGGCAACAAAGGGCCTGGATTCACCAACACAGCTCCTGTCCTCTTGTCAGATGATGAGGTAAAAGGTAAAAGAGCACAGGAGAACAAACAGGAATCATGGCTACCTTTTCAGGTTCTCCAAGTCCCCGAAACAGTGGAACTCCCGTACATGCTTCGGAGGAAAGCTGAAAGCCAGTGTCATAGGGCCTTCCCACTATTTACCTATTGTCATGTAGAAGTGTCAGTCTCAGTGCTGATAGCTAAACCCCCCTATAAACTATGAGAACAGTGTTTGTGTGTACTGCTCAAGGGTGTATATGGTTGTATGCACACACACACACATGCATGTGTGAGGGGGGTAAGGGCACTTAAAAAGAGGAGATAGCTCTCTCTCCAGTCCCCTTCAGGAAGATCACTGTTCTTTTTTGAACTTGATTTGATTGGGGGAAGGGCCAGAAATTCCCTTAGCAGCCATAAGTGATCTGCCAGGAGGAGAGTGAGGCTGACTGGCCACTTAGAAAAGTCACTGAAGAAAGCCAGGGAGGAGATTGGGCCCCAGGCCCCAATCAGGGCAGGCATGCTGGAGTGTACCAAGCTGCCATACTTCTCACAGCCCTGGAAACGTGATCCCACCACCAAAGGAACTATCCTTCCCAGTGGCACATGCAGCAGCAGGTAAGTGGGGACCAATCTACATTTCTTTCCAACAAGAACAGGCCTTCCATTGACCAGTGTCTATTTCCACACAAAGTATTTTTTTTTTCAAGAAAATCAGTCTTAGTGCCAGCCTCACATGTTCAATAAAAAATAAAACAATATCAAGTTCCCTTGGACACAGGTATATCCTTCAATGAATTTCTTTCTAGCCAGAAAGGGACATTCCTTTGTCTGAAACCTTGGGAGCAAAGCTTCTGTCACCATCCCAATGATGCCCAGGAAAAGCAGAGCTAGGGCCAGGTTCTGAGCTACATAGGGCAGTCCAGGAAAACAGGTCTCCTAAAAGGCTCCACACCTTTGAGGAGGAGGCTATTCTCAGGATTTAGAAGGCGAAGGAATGATGATCAAAGGGAAAAACACACAGGATCCAAGAGGCAGGTCAAAAGAACTGGGATTAAATGTCCTGGTGAGGAGGCATCTGCCGACCAGCTTAATTGAGTGATTTCACAAAAGATAGCAAGCAGCTGTTGTACATCACCATGGAAGAGTGAGTATCAGGGAGGATACGGACATAAATTTCCTTTGGTGAATATTTGCTTAGGGAATACTTCTCCAAGTGGCATGAAAGAGGGGGTAGGGAACAGAGACCTGGGATGTTCTTAAGCAAGGTCCAAAGTCCTCACCAGAGAAAGCTGAAGAACAGGCAAACTTCTGTGTGGTACACTACCATGCCCCAGTTCTGCAAAGAGCTGAGATGAAAAATCCCAGGGGATGACTGTTTATGACAGATACATGACATGTAAGAGTGAGAACAACAGCAGCTTGTAGGGATTAGGATTCTGCAGGTGGAAGTGGACCACTGGCTTCAGATGGGACAAGTAAAAGGAGGGTACCATGAGGAACATCAGGAGAGACTTCTAACAGGAGGTTTTGGCATGTGAGAATGCACTGTTGTCCCCACTAGAAACAGAAGAAAGACACAAAAAGGGTAAAGAGAACAGAAGGAAGACAGTTTTGATCCATGGTAGAGAAACACAGTTCAGCCCTGTAGAGCCCTCCCCAGGATAGGATGTGGTGAGAAAAACAGAAAAAAGGCATGGTTGCAGAAGAATGACAGGACTGTAGAGAGATGAGGAAGAACACAGGAAGAGGTTTGAGGCAGGGAGATTGCAGTGGATACTGCTGATAATTTTAATTAAAACTCTTTTCGGGGAGTTGTCAGTCCTGGGGCTTGAACTCAGGGCCTGAGTGCTGTCTCTGAGCTTTTTTGCTCAAAGTTAGCCCTCTACAACTTGAGCCACAGCTCTACTTCTGGCTTGTTGTGGTGTTTGGAGGTAAGTGTCTCATAGACTTTCTTGCCTGTGATAGATCTTCAGGTCTCAGCCTCCAGCATAGCTAAGATTACAAGTGTGAGCTACAGGCATCCAGTGACATTTCTTTATTTTATTTTTAGTCTCTTATCTCCAAGTAGCAAGCAGAAAACCAGAAGTGGCGCCGTGGCTCTAGTGGTAGAGCACTAACCTTCAAGGACAGGGCCCAGGCTCAGAGTTCAAGCCTCATAACTAACAACAACAACAACAAAGCTATGTGCCCTGGCTTTTCTCTGTATTGAATTTAGGCCTCAGGACAAACCAATTTCAGTACAGATGAGGCTGCAGAAAGAAGCAAGAGAGCCTGAGCTTGCTTCGAAGAGTTCCATCTCCCCCTTTTTCTCCAGCATACTTCCTGCTGGAGGCAGCCGAGCTCCTGCTTTGGCTGGACTGTTTGTCACCCCTTCTATTACCTTTTTGAAGACATGAGATACTTGGGAGGGAGTAAGTGTGAAGGCCAGAGAGCCCCTCCCTCCTTCAGCTGTATCCAGGAGCAAAAAACACTCTTCCTTGGCAGAAAAGAACATGTGTTTTTAAATCACCTTTTTGGAAAGACTCAAAGCATCTTATAACCATTATCACTTCATTTCTTGTAATATCTTTGTGAAGTGGGTGTCAATTGTAGTAAGGAAGGGTTTTTTTTTTTCAGATGGTGCAAAGTACAGGAGGATTCTGGCCAGTCAGTGCAGACACAGGGTTAAAAAAAAAAATCCAACATCAGTGCAGATACTGTACTACATTAATTCTGTCTGGGGGAAAAATGGTCTAAGATGTTAAGATTATAAGTGAAAGAAGAAAGCTTTAACTACAGCTATTAATAAAACAAAACAAAAAACCATGAAGTACTGTAAGTGGCCTTACGTCCCAAGGAAATAATAAGAAACTATATTAAAATGTTTAATTTTCAGGTAAGAAATAGACTGTATGTTTTAGGGAAAAAGACAACATGTATGCTGCTTTTGCGTTTTGATCATAATTATAACTATTGAGATGGCAGTGTAGGTGAATACTGAAGTCTGGGTTTGGACACACAGACCATAGTCAAGTAGAAAGTTGGCTTTTTCACATCAAGATATTCAGCAGCTAAGTCGGTGGTGCGTGTTTTTCCTCTGAGGTCATGTGGCTTAAATAATCACAACAGACAAGCAGGAGCATTTCCACTGAGCCAGGACCCAGGCCTTACAGGAAATTACTCTTCTGCATGTCTGATCACTATGGAAATTGATTTTATACAGATAGCTAAAAGTACACAGACCCAAGACTGCATGTCCTCTATATTTGTACTAGTGAGCACATACTCCCTGCCTCATTACTGAAACCTAGGCCTGATCATCTCCCCAGGCCTCTTGGGTATTTGGACCAGCAGGTGGTTTTATCCTTTGGCTGGCTGGCTGCTGC